TCGCTCGCCTGCCAGAGCACCGCCAGCGCCTCCCCCGGCGGCAGCAGCCGGCTGAACTTGTCAAAGCCATAGGGCAGCTCCTTAAATAGAAGGTACATCAGCATCGCCCCCATCGAGTACACATCCGCCTTCACCGCGTCGTACCCCACGCGCCCCGCCGCCCCCGCGCCCGCCGCCGCATCCGCGGCCGATGGCAGCGGCGCCGCCGTCGTCGCACGCGGGGAGGGGGGCGCGTCTAGGGCGGAGGCGTCTGCGGTGGACGAGCCGTCCGTGGCGGCGGTGACGCTGGGGCGGCGGGGGAAGGCCTGGCCCAGGACTTCGGGAGCCATGAAGCCTGTGTGTGCGTGTGCACGCGCGTGTATGTGTGTGTATGTGTGTGTCTGTGAGTGTGTGGCTGTGCGTGTGACTGTGTGTGTGAATGAGTGCATGGGTGTGTGGCTTGTGGGATTGAGGAAAAGGTCATGTTGCCGGGCATCGAGCTTGCAAGACGCGGGGCGTGACGGCTTGTGAGGCGGATGGCGCCAGCGCAGGTGAGGGGCCGCGCCGCTTCTGCTGCTGCTTGCAGCGCCTAGCTGTCGAGCTTCAGCTCCATCGCCGCATGTTTCTGCCCCGGCACACGCACATCACATAAGATTGCTGCACATGCATGCGCAAGTGCATGCGCGAGAGCATGCGCAGGTGTGTCATGCTCGCACGAGCGCTCTCATGCACAACCCCAACTGCCTGTACGCAGGTCCGCGTGTCTGTGAGTGCAGACAACCCCAGCCCCCTCACCGGGTGTACCCATGAATGTGTTCGCGAGGCACACAGATTGGTCCTGCCCCCAAGCCTTGCAGGTGCCGAAATCGGCAAGCAGCAGCCGGGGGGTGGCGGCGCCAAAGGTGGTGGCGTCGACAAGAATGTTGTCGAGCTGACGTGGCGGGTGGGGGCGGTTGCGTCTGTGTTGCTTTTCGTGATGGAGAGGTGTGTGTGCATGCGTGCGTGCGTGTGTGTGTGTGTGTGTGTGGGTGCGCGCGTGTGTGTGTGTTGATGCGTGCGCGTGCATATGATCGAAACTCATACAGCAATTTCAATGACGCTGGCCCCAGCCAGGGGTCGCCTCACGCCAAGGGTCAAACAGGGGTCAAACAGTTGTCAAACAGCGGTCAAACAACGGTCAAACAGCGGTAAAACGCTTTCACCTTGATGTCCCGGTAGGCGACGCGGTGCTCGTGCAGCCGCTCCACCGCCGCCCAGAGCTGCCTCAGTATGAAGGCCGCCAGGTCCTCGGGCACGCCGCGGCGGTGGCGACGGTCAGACAGGAAGGACGCCAGGCTGCCGCCGCTGGCCCACTCGGTCACCTTTTGGCGGTCAGATGAGTGCATGGTTGGTGGGTCCTGAGCGGGGACCCCTTAATGCACAATTACATGCCATATATAGATGCATGTGTGTGCATGCGATTATGCCACTGATACACAAATGTAGATTTATATGTTCGTAAACGTGGTTGGGGTGTTTTGGAGAGGGGGCTGTGTCTGGCGGCGACACCGGAGTCCTGCAAGATGCAGCAGAACGAAGTGTCTGCTGTACCGGCGGCAGGGCGGACCCGCAGAGGGTCGCGAAGCAGCGCTGCCGCCCGCCAGCGGCCACAAGCAGCATGCACAGGGTGCGCAGGGGACGGACTCCTCACCAGGCAGAGGTGGCCGGCCGTGAGCTGCACGCGGCAGGCGCGCAACAGCCCCACGTGGGCGCCTGCCTCAGACACGATCGACGCATAGATCCGCTCCTGCGTTTCAGGCAATGTTTTCACAGCAGGAAAGGTGTTTTTGTACATATTTCCAGGATTCCAGTGACAGCATGACGGCGCGGTCTGCAGCGCCGGAGCGCGTCGGCCCTCGCGTGCAGGGCTTGCAAGCAGCCGAAGCAGCGGCGGGGCGGCCCGCGCCCGCCGGCGCGGGCGAAGCTGGCGGCGGCCTGCGCCCGCGTACCCCC